ACTCAGTATCGATCCCTCTTGATCTCATAATAGAGATACTCACAAGATTGCCTTACAAGCCCCTCATGAAGTTCAAGTGCTTAGCGAAACAGTATTCATCAATCATCCGAAGTCAAAACTTTGTCGATTCGCACTTTTCTTATTCCTCGAACAAGCCAGGTCTCTTGTTCTCATACGCGACCGCGAATAAGCTTGCACTCTACTCAGCAACAACGACTACTTGTTCATCTACAGTCGCAAGCCATCTTATGACCGTCTCTGGGAATAGATTATGATCAGATCTCCTCCGGTCCGCGGCTTAATCTGCTATTCGATTAATTGTAACCAACATGTTATATGTAATTTTTATGTTACGTCAATTTGATCTTGCTCGATCTGTTCCACGGGGAAGCTCTTTCGCTTACCTCAATACCAAACCTGGACCAAAACAGACTTTAACGAGTATCTGCTTTTTGGATACGAACGCATCTCTAATCGGTTCAAAGTAATTTCCATATTAGCTGATTGTCGGAATCTTGAGTATCAATTCTGGATCTTTACCGTGGGAGATGGAAACTCGTGGAGAAAGATACAAGACATACCTTATCCATATTGTCCTGTCTCGGTATGTCCAATAGGTGTATGCATTAATGGTGTTTTGTACTATCCATGCCCACAACAACCGAGGTATACTAGTGGTTAGTACTTTTGACCTCAACTCTGAGAAACTCCGACATATTGAACTCCCTCCTAGTCCTAGCCATTTGTCGATTCCGACATTGGTAGATTTCCAAGGGAAGCTAGCTCTTGTTGAAAACATTACGGGAATCAGTGTTTGGGTACTCGAGGATGCAGAGAAACACGAATGGTCGTCCAGGTTGTATAACTTGCCATGGAGTTTTAATTACTTTAGAGGGTTTTATGAATACTTGCGTGTGGTTGGTATTTGTGAGGGAGAGATTGTTTTTGTACCAACTACAGATAATGTGCTTGGACTCACTACCTGGCATTTCAACTTAGACAAGCAGACTATCACACAAGTTGTAACCCAAATGCCTTCCAATCATAAATCTTATCATTACGTTTATGCAAATTACGTTGATAATCTTGTTTCATTGTAATTCGGTATTTTAGTTTTGATCTTTTACTAATCTATATTACTTGAATATGAAGAAGAACATGCTCTGTTTTTTTGTTTTTTCCCTAAAATTGTTCAGCAATTTTCCAAGTATTTTTGTTATTCAAAGCCATAGTTAGAGATACGGGTAAATTAGTAATGAAGTGAAAAACTGTTCAAACCAAACCCAAATTTATCAACTGGATC